AAATTCTCTTCTGTTGAAAACTATCGACAAACTCGTGAATCACTTTAAACGCGAAAGTTAGATATCACGCGAGTTTGATCGCAGCATTATGGTTGCTCGATCGCGAAGGAGTGAGCTTGCAAGCTTCCTTCCTAGCTACCAACCTACCTAGCTAGAACGTTTATTAAACCGATGTCTAACAGAGCGGATTAACTAACTCTAATTAGTTACTAGAGTAGTCATTAATCGCATCGGTAATCAGCAAGAAACGTACTGTTGTGTATTTCTCTCTTACATTAACCGTTAATTATCTGCCAACAATTTTTTTTTCTTTTTCCTTATTATGAAAAATTATAATAAAATGATTATTTTCTCTTTTTTGTTTTGTTTTTATCGTTAATTAAAATATTCGTAATTTTTATTATTATTTATTTATTTTTTCCATTTTTTAAGGGAGAGTATAAAAACGAATAAACGAAATGTAAATTTAACACTAGATATACCACCATTTTCAGTATATCTATTTCTACCACACTAGTCAAAATGACTGGTGTATAAAAAAAATGCTTTTTGAGGCTTCTAGTCTTTATTTACTTTTAAAAAATAACAAAAACTGTTTAACAATAATAATTTTAATAAATAAATGGATTTATAGACATTTTTAAATAACAAAACGCTTAATTATTTACAGAACTCAAATGTTACATGAAGTAGAAATTTTGATTTAAAATGGCCACCAGTCAAAATGATTGGTCTGATATTGGGATCTCTAGCACTTGAGTACGCTATCTGGTGGCTAAATTCAAAATTAGAGTAGATAGGTCGAATTGGTATGCCACGTCCCTGCCAGAGATCCTAATGTCTAGTGTTAAAAATGTGTTCTTTTAAAAATAAAAACGTAATAGAGTCGAAAAGCATCTTTTTTTTTAGATCAGAGATTGCACATATATTGGGTTGTCCAAAAAGTTCGTGTCGATTGTCGGTAGATGGCACAAAATTTGTTTTTTGAAAAAAACCTGAAAAGTTCTTTCTGGAGGAACAAACTTTTTAATTTATCCTTTAAAATGAAAAAAGGTTATGGAACAAAATAGCACTTATATATAATAATTGAATAAATATATACTAAAAAAAAAAAAAAAGAGAAAAACTTAAATGTGTTGCGTTTCAATCTTTCGTCAAAATCGGCGCGAACTTTCTGAACAACCTAATATATTAACACATTCTTAATATACGTATTTTTATTGATTATTTTACAAATAAATAACTATTAAATTAATTTAAAAATCTTGGATAATAGGCTTTGAAAAAATTATACATTATAATGAGATAAAGTAATTTTACTATATTCCCATAAAATTCTTTTTTATCTTGATAGATAAATTAAAAAAAAAAAGTATAAAATAAATTATAAAAAAAAGTTATAAAACTTTTTCTCCGATGTAATGCGATTTAAAAAGAATAAAAAAAAAAAAAATAAATAAATAAATAAAACCTTATCAAATCTTCCCATAATCTACGTAAAAATATGGTTAGAAAAAAAATGTCTCGACGTGTTGAAATAATATTTCTATCAAATATTTGTAAATCCAAAAGAAAAATAAATAGAGATAGAAATAGAGATAGAGATAGAGATAAATAGAACAGGAAAAGGAAGAAAGAGAAAGAGAAAATGAAAGAAACGATATCATTAATAACGTCATATACGTTCTTTACTCTCGTTTCAGGCTTCCCACATCAGAGAGCACATTGTATCCTTTGTGGTATGGCGAGGCTTCCGAGGGTCCCACTTCCGGCGTGGCAAATACGATCTCCCTTTCCCTCCCCCTCTTTTCCTTCCACCATTCCACCTCTTTTACCTTTTCTTTCCTTTTTCATCTTTTCAATCCATCCTTCTATTTTCTCTCTCTTCCTCTTTTTCCTTTTTTTTTTTTCACTTCACGAATTACGGGTCCCCTTAGTTCGTTCATTCGTTCTTTTTTTCCCTCGTGTTTTTTCAGAATAGTAGTAGTGCACCGAGTTTCGCTGACTGCACGCGAATTCTTTCTCGTCAAAGTGATATGGTGGTAACGCGAGAAGTGAGAAAAAGAGAGACAGAAAGGAAGAAAGTGAGAAGAGAGACGAGAATGAGAATGAGAATGAGGATGATGAGGAGGAGAAGAGAGGGGTGGAAGGAAAGTGGAGGATCATGAAAGTTCAAAATAGCCAGGGCCGACAGGTGGGTGGCTGGTGGTGGTGTTGTTGGAAGTGGTACGTTTGCTACGTCATCCTCGACGACGTGTCCTCGTTCATGCTTTTTCGAAAATTTCATCGTTCGTAAAACATGCAAAACGGGTGAGTCAAGCGTGGGTATATGAATCGACGAATAAGAATAGAGAGAGAAACATATGCGAATCATGTGGGCGAACGTTTGTCATTTTCCTTTTCAGTTTTAAAGCTCAATGGATTCCCGCATATGTAATTCAATGTTAGAGAAAACATAAGATTTTCTTTGTTTTTATTTTATTCTAATTTATTTTTTTATTATTATTATTATTTTATGAGGTTTAAGAAATGTTTAATATGATATGTTTGTTTGTTTGATTAAAAGTAAGATATTTTTTGGTAAATATTAGTTTTTTTTTTTTTTGTAGAATTTTTTATCGAGTTACCAAGTGATATTTTTTTTTTTTTTAATATTATTATAATCGTATGATTAAAAGTTGAATTAGTATTTATTAATTAGTATAATTTAGGATAGATTTACAAATAGATTGTTTTATGAGATTATTTTAAGATTGAATAGTGAGATTTGAGTGTTCGTATAAATAATTAAGAAATTTAGGGATTCGATGGAAAATATTTGTTTCTTTTCTTTTTTTTATCCTGATAAGGGTGAAATAGAAGTAGCTTATATCAAGAAAATTATTAAAAAATAATTGTGTCTTTTAAAGTATAATATATTAATGCTAAACTTAACTAAAATTTATGTCTATCCACTTTTATTATAATTGATTTTTATAAAATCTATGTTAAATAAATAACATAATTTTTTAGATAATAATTAAAATAATATTTGCAACTATAATTTTTGTGTGAAATGTTATGAAATGATTAAAAATAATAACATTGAATGTAGAAATTAAATTTTAAATTTAAATTTGATCATTTGAATCATTTGTTTTATTTTTAGTATTAGTATTTTCTAAGAGCAAGTGAGAAATAAATAGACTATGTCAAATGAAAACATCATACATAAAATAGTAGTGAAATTTAATTCAAGTGCATATATTAAGAATTATAAGGAAAAATTTGACTGTGTAGAAAGTATGTTGGTATTAAACTAATTATACGAAAGTTTATCACGTCGAATAGAATAATACATAATATATGAAATCAGAACATACCTAAATTGAAGGAAGTTAATTAGGATAGTTTAGTTTGAATTAGATAGTAAATTATAGCTTATATTAGAAGGATAAATATACTTTTTTATCTCGTAAAATAAAAATGTCCAAATTAATTATTATATTTTATATTGATAACAATATATTGAAAAAAGAAAAAGAAATATATTCTACTTTTTACAAAAAATTAATATATCTCTTTTAATAAAAGAAAAGAATTTTAAATAACCAAATAAATAATTAATAAATAATATTACTAAAAAAATATGCAAATTTACTGAAATAAATAATTATTAAATAAAATTCAAATTAAATCTTATAACATGCACGAATGTTTTCATATCTAATAAGAAATATATTATTCTTTATAATTATTATTCTAATAATCTAAATTGTCAATGAATAGAACTTTTTTTTCATTTCTTATTTTTTTTTAACTTTCTTTCGTTAAAAAGTATCGAGATATTTTAAAAGTTTCGTTTTTAATTGATCGAACGAAACATGAACGTCGTTCTCTATCCTTATCTATAATTGTCTCCCACGGTGTCAGATCTATTTCTATCAGCATGACTCACGTTCAACAATTCTACGAAAAGTTTCATTCTCAATGGTATTTCTTTTCCTACTTTCTTTATACTATATTTGAATATTATTTCTCCTTTCTTATATATTCATATATATACGATTTTACTTGCAAACCATTAAACATCAATTGATAATTCCTTTTACATTTAAAATTTTTCAAAGTAGTAGTAGTAGTAGTAGCAGTAGTAGTAGTAGTATTGCGCAGTCGATTAAATATTCTTTCGTGCCAGTTGTCACGTATTTGTGTGCGTGTGTATGTTCTGTATGTTGTTTATGTATACACACGTTAAACGTATATATATATATATATATATATAGATAAGATAAACTTTTATTTTTATCTTTATCTCTTTCTATCTTGTTCTTTTATTATTGTTTCCATTTCCGTTGCGTGTAAAATCATCATTTCATATTAAATTTAAAAATTGTATAGAAAAACATATGTCAAAGAGTTGAGTTTAAATCGTAAATTTTATTTATATTTGCTTGATAAAATTGTGAATTAGAATGTAAAATAGTAGTACGTGTTAGAATAACATTATCCTCATGTCGATTATGTTTATTACAAAATTAAAGAATATTAGATCAAATTAAACGTTTAGTTTATTTGAAATTTTGTAATTAGTAACGAATATGTATGTTTCTTTCGTTCAAATAGAAAAAGAAAATTTTTTACGGTATAATTAAAATTAACAAAATAGAGAAAGAGAAAATAACAAAAAACAGGGATAAAATTAGGATGAAAATAAAAAGAAATTGAAGAGAAAAAAAAATAGAGAAAAGCTGTCAAGGGATTGGGAAGCACGTTTCGTGTTGAGACGAGCGCGGGAAAATTTGAATGGAAATATGAAGATAGATATGGCGTCAATGATGACGTAGCAATGGACGAGTATAAAAGAAAAGGTAAAAGTAGAAGTAGAAGTAGAAGGAGTGAACGAGGAAGAGGATGAGGAAGAGGAGGAAAAGGAAGAATGGGGGACAGAGAGAGAGAGAGAGAGAGAGAGAGAGAGAGAGAGAGAGAGAGAGAGAGAGGAAGAGAGACTGTTAACTTACCTCAGTAACGATATCCTTCATGTTGGCGTGTTAAATCGATCGTGCGTTTCGCTCAGTGATCTTTCACTCTTTTTCCTTACGCGTTTCCTGTCCGTTTGTTAAAAGGAGTATCTTTTTCTTAAATAAAAGAGAGAGAGAGAGAGAGAGAGTGCAAGAACACGTCCGCAAGCGAGTACTCCTACAAAATGACTAGGTGAGGGAGCTTGCTCAACTCAAGAAACCCGGCCTCTTCGGACTACGACCTTATCGAGAAAGAGAAAGAGAGAGGGATGAGTGTGGGACAGAAAGAGAGAGAGACAGAGACAGAGAGAGAGAGAGAGAGAGAGAGAGAGAGAAAGATGAGTGAGAGTAAGCATTTGCACGCATTCGATATAACACGTAACGTTTCTTCTTTGAGTTAGCGGCAAGAATACCCGAACGTCACGGGCGAGAATCTCCCCACTCTTGATTACTAAGAGTCAAACATGTGTGTGCTTGTGTGCGACTGCATAATACGAAGCGTACACTCATACTATCTCACAGAGAACCAACAGTTTATATTTTTAAGACGTTTAGAAAATTTTATAAATTTATACGTTTTCGTTAGGGTTACAGACCGTACATACGGTATATAGTAATTATCTTCCTAAATACAGTCATTTTCGAAAAGATTAGGATTAAAGATTTATTCTAGTATTCCTATATATCATTTCTTTAAATCTTATATCATCATCCACAGTTATAGCGACGGAGGTAGAGACTAAGGAAAACGAACGATATAGGCAATTTTTCATAAAATCTGTCCTCTAAAAACGTAAAAAATAACTAATACTTATTTCTGCCACTAGGGCGGCATGACGATCAGTGTGATTCTATTGACGTAAGATATATATCGTCCGAGGCATATAAGAAAATTATATTATTTATTATAATATTTGCGTATTTAAGAAACTTATACTAATTTTTCAATAAAATAAAAACATTTTTTAAAACTAACTATAAGGAAAACCATTGGCATACATATTATCTTTTTGCATATTCGCATGACGCAATAAATTTACTTAATATTTTAACAGTTTCTCACTTTTTTCTGTTGGTTTGTTTCTTTTTTTTTTGTTTTTTTTTTTTTTTTTTTTTTTTTTGTAGGTGTATTGCGAAAATATTTCTAACTTAATTAAAAAGAAAAGAAAAAATCCGTTAGCACCAGAAGCGCTTCCGTTTTCGAAACTCAACAGCTCCAAGCCTAAGTGTAAAGTAGAACTGTTAGAAATCGTGGTTTCGAAAGTTTNATATTATCTTTTTGCATATTCGCATGACGCAATAAATTTACTTAATATTTTAACAGTTTCTCACTTTTTTCTGTTGGTTTGTTTCTTTTTTTTTTTTTTTTTTTTTTTTTTTTTTTTTTTTTTTTTGTGAACTCCAATCCACGTATCGATTTGTCTGTTCGCTATCACCGATGTCCGTTAGCACCAGAAGCGCTTCCGTTTTCGAAACTCAACAGCTCCAAGCCTAAGTGTAAAGTAGAACTGTTAGAAATCGTGGTTTCGAAAGTTTCTACAATTTTCCTTTTTTTTTTTCTTTTTGATTTAGTTTTATTTTATTTATTTATTTCATTTCATTTTATTTTATTTTATTTTACTTTTACTTTTACTCTTTTACTTTGTCATTTATTTTCTTTCACTTCATTTTCCATTTTCATCGAATTGAGCACGAAATAGTCTACGGATAAATTCTTTTTTTTTTAACACAATAGAATAAGAAAATAAATAAAATGACATCGTAACTCGTAAGGGTATCAATTTGTTATTAAAAAACATTATCTTTTTTTTTCAATCCTTTCTTTTTATTTTTTTATTTACCAAACCCAACGATATTTTTACAAGCCCCCAACGAGAATTCACAGTACCCATTTGGAAGGTTTATCTTTCACAGTCACGTTGCAATAGGAATTGGCTTTTGCGTTTCTCGGGATGCGTTAAAAGTCAAGAGACCAACACGATCGACTAGTATAAAGTTTGCAACATCCACGAAACGGCATGGGCCAGAGATCGTTTGACTTTTGGCCAAGTTGAACTTATTGTTAGTTAGTTGGTTAGTTAGTTACTCTTTCTCTTTAACACGCGACTTGCTTAATTTTTATTATTTTTTATAACCTTCACGATTTAGATACGCAAATCCTCGGAATAATTAAACTAACAATAAAGTCTTATTTTCTCGCGTTTTTTTAAATATTTTTTTTACGACCATTTTACAATGCTATTTTGCATTCGTCAATTTTTCATTTAATTCTATTCGTTATTTTTCCTACGAGTGATTTTAAATCAAAAATTATATCATCTATTTATATTTATTTCGTCTGAAATATTTTTTTCCTTACTCCTATCTTTCATAATTGTTAATTCATATTTACCAAAAATAAAAAGAATATTCAATATCGGTGGTAATAATTTTTTAATGCACTTCTTATTATCTTTTACACGATAATTAATATATTTTTTTTTATTCTTTTTATTTTAATAACTCTCACACACACAAACACATGCAAAAATGATCATTTATTTTGTACGAATTAATTTTTCATCGATATAATTATATTTTATTTTCTCGTTAACAAGATTTGAATAAAAACAAATAGACAAATAATTTCTATCATCAAATTTATTATAATATATGTATATACGATCGAATTTGATACAGTTATTTAACTTATCTATCAATTTTTGAATTATTTATTATCACGAAATGACAATTTGTTTTTTCTACGTCGAATTTAAATCCACAAAGACGTAAAAGCATCATCCTCACCATCGACACACATACATACATACATACATACACACATCTGCATTTAATACGCCTCTGCACCGATGGATAAGCCGATCGAAGGCCATCCATTGGCGCACCCATACGCATTGCTTTTACGACTGGGAGACACGCGAATCGAGTGAGAAAAAGAGAGACAAAATATAACAGAGTTAGTATTTGTTTGTGTATATGTGTTTGAGAGAGAGAGAAAGATAGATAGAACGGAAACGTCTATATTTCTTCGCTTTAATTCCAGTGTGCGCGAAACCTTATCTCGTGGTACATCCATATTTATCGACTTTATTCGAAACGAACAAACCGAACCGCGGCGTGTAACTCAAATCGATCATTTGACTTTCATATCCCTTTTGGTCCTTCTCTCTCTTTCTCTTTTTTTTTTCTTTCCTTTTCTGTTTCACTTTCTATCATCCCTCTCACTCTATCATCGTGTGTCCTCGTTGTATTAGCTGTACAAGTGCTGCACACACACAGAGGTCAATGAAATAAAATTAAATAGACCCCTTCGAACAAAATCAAATAATCGTCCTAGATATTCTTTTTCTTTTTCTTTACTTTTTTCTTTTTCAGATGATAGAGTTCAAAATTTGAACGTAAATTATGAATGAACGAATTGTCGAAGGATATGAATGAAGATTATTTTTCTATGATTAAATGAGAGGAAAAAGAAAAAAGATAGAAATAAAAATCAAGATGTATTTTGTTATTTAATTGTTTGTATGATTATTTTTTTTTGGATTATTTCAATAATTTTATTTTGGACTGGATAATTTTTTTAATGTCCCTAGTAGCACAAAATATTGAAAAATATTGAATACATGTGTATTTAATATTAATAAGACATTAAATCTCTTTTTAATATTAAATACACGTGTATTTAATATTTTGTGCTACTAGGGGTATTTAAAAATTTTCAATACAAATTAAAAGGTACATGTCCACACATTATCAAAAAAAAAAAAAAAAAAACTAAATCCAAAAAACAATTAACAAATCAACACAACTATTCTAAACAAATCTAACAGTACTGGCAATTACAATCAAATATCTAATACAAATGATAAAATTACAAATCTTATTTAAAATATTTCGCATTCTAAGATCAACTTTAGTAATCTTTATCTTTCATAAACAACTCGCCTTTTTGTTCCCTTAAAATATAAAAAATGTAATCATGTTGCAAGTGATAATAATTTTATAAGATTGAGATAAATATTAATATGTTGAAACTTATCCACAGTTTATCTCCATTTCTATTTCTTTATTTCTTCAATATTATATTTTCTTAATCTATTTGTTTTATATTCTTTCTTACTTGTCCTTTTCTTTTCCTCTACATTCTACTTATTCACCCTCTTTCCCGCCCACTCTACTTCAGGCGATTCTTCATTAGATAATCTTATCTAATTAACCGTTTTCTACTGGTTCTTCTATCATCTTTCACCCCCTCCCCCTTTCGCCTCACCACCCTCTCTCGTTGTTCCAACTCCAGTAGAAATTATGAGCAAAGAATAAAAAAAAAAAAAAAATAGTCCTTTTTTTCTTTCCACGATAACGAGACTCATTTTTTTTCTTTTACTTTTTTTTATTCATCTTATTTTTTTTTTTTTCTTAGGATACAACAATTTTGTTATTTTTTTGTTTTTTCAAATACGGAATCGAATTTATCTGTAGAGATTGTTACAATAATGATAATAATAATAATTATTATTATAATAATAATGTTTAGTAATGATAATAATGTTTTTGTATTGACTGTATAATCGAATACACGTGTACACCAATGTTTTCCTTTACAGATTCCACGTGTTTGGTGCACGTGCAACTAAATGGATCACGCGTGTGCATTACTCAATTATTCGCTTACTTATCTAATTAAAATCCGGTATATGATGTATCATTGCTGACATATTTACCTTCATTGATGAATCTTCTTTATTTTAAATCAAAACGTAAATAACTATAAATTACTCGTTGAAATTATAAAAAGTAAGATATATTAATATTGTCGATTAAAATAAAATATAAAAATAAATGTGGTGACATATTATAATCAATCGTCATTTAATATTACATATTAATTATAGATTTAGATACAATATGTTTGCAATTTTTTTTCATTAAAAATATATTGTGAATTATCGTTAAATATTATTATATAAATAAATTTATTGTATCACATATGGGAAGTGTTCTATTTTGGATAAAATTAACATAGGAAGGAAACATTTCAGAGAAATTTTCTTAGAATCTTATTTTGTAATTTATTAATTGGATTGTTTTCTTGGAAATGTTTCCAAAATAATTTAGATAATACATCTTTGTTATCTAATTAAATATATATTTATACTTTTGCGCGTGTGTTTGTGTGCGCGTGCATGTGTTTACTATATACATGTATATATATATTTTTCCCAATGAAAAGAGAGAGAGAAAGAGAGAGGAACTGTCTCTTGACCTCAGAATAAATCAACGGTAGTTAGCTTCATTGACCTCTGGGTTATTGGTAATGATAGTGAGTAACACGTGTTACCCTTCTCCACCTCACCGTCATCCTCATCCTCATTCTCATTCTCATCTTCAGCTTTATTATTCGTTCTTGGTTATTTTTGTTATTTTTTGATTTCTATTTTTATTTTTTTTTTATTTTTTTTTTTTGCCTCCAACCGTCCGTCCCCCTCGACTAATATGAAATTATTATTTTCTTATTTTACGTAACCTACTTATTTTCGTTCAAATAATTATTATTACCAAATTTGAGCATGCATAATCAACGTTTTCTTAAATAACGCTTTTAAATTTGAATATTTTTAAAACGAATTACTTCTGTGTTTCAAAAAATAAAAAAAATAAAGAAGAATTCAACAAAATTTTGTTTATAAGAATTTTATTAATAAATGTGACGATATTGGATACTTTTATATATTTTTTTTTTTACTTATATAATTTGTTTTTATTAATATATACTTACACATGTTAAATTGTTTAATTTTACAGTATCACAGTCGCCATCTTGACGCAAACCTTTGAGCTTGTTCCACACTAAGCCTTTTTTTCTTTCCAAATTCTGATAATAAATTAATACACTTTACATATTACTCATGTATACTCTTTATATTTTTTATAAATTATACTTTAAAATATATAAGAATAATTTAAATATATATAAAAAAAATATTTCTAATTTTGTTTGATTTTGTTCAGTTGCACATAATTGTCAGTACCATAATGTGTACACACGTAGCAATAATTTGTTGTTTATAAGCATGAAATATGAAAGTGTGGTAAGTTTAAATAGAGTCAAAATGTTGCTTTTGTTTTGTTTAAATTAAATCGGAAATAAAATAATAGATTTAAATAGGAGAAGAGGCAACCTATATCAGTATCGAATGATTTTCTTCCAAGAGTATGTTAAGAAGTTTAATAATGTATGTGTGTGATGACGTAGTCATATCATGTTAACACAAATATGGAGAGACGTTTGGTGCGGTAGGGGACCTGGAAACGATACTTGTTTTCATCTCTTTCAACATATCCCAGAGTTCTCTCTCAATAGTAGTACGATCGACGCCAACGTGAATGCTCTTCTAAGTGCTCTTAAAGAAAAAGATTGTCTTATTTTTTTTTACATTTAATTGTGAAGAATTTTCATCCCTTTTAAAAGCTAGCTGTGCTTCTACGATTCTTTTTTTTTTTTCTTCTTTATTCCATTAAAAAGTCATTTTGTTTTTTTTCTTCTTTTCTTCCTTTTTCATTTCATTTATTTCTCCGAACGTCAACAAGTAATTACGAATTGTTAATTGTAATTTAGTATATTTTATTTTTATTTTTTGTTTTTTTTTTTTTTCGTAAAGCAATTTTCGTTGTGATTGACAATTTTTAATATTTTATTATTTTCAATTTTTCGTATTAGTTAATTTAAAAATTGGCGGGGACAATTGTCTTTTAAATTGATCGTTTGGATTTATATTTTTTTTTTCGTTGGTGTCGACTGTCGAAGACTAAATAAGTCGCGAGATTAATTATTTGTGAGAAGAGAAGGCAAAGGGGAAAAGGGTGAGAGAAAAGAAAATAGGAAACAGAAAAAGGAGGGTGTAAAAAAAGCGATTAGACACGTTTTGGCAGTGCCGGATGAGAGAATCGATGAAGAGCACTTTAATCTTGCCGTTGGAGAATCACGAGGTAAGGAAAATTAAAAAAAAAAAAAACAGAAATAAATAAAAAAACGAATAGAAACATTCATAATTTTTTTAATGTAATTCGTACGAAAAAGAAAAAGAAGAATTTTTGAAGTTTTGTTCTTTCGTATTTGAACGAATGGTTTAGATCTAACAAGTTGGATTAGATCCCAGTCTCGTATTTTCTCTTGATCTTGACATTTTCCAAGAACATTTATTATGTTTCGCTTGTGAAAAATGCTTACGGAATCTTAGGTCGTTTATTTTGAAAATAATTATATTTGTATTCATTAATTTATCGAAATGCGAAATTAGTTGGTCGTAATTTTCTACCGAAATTACGAGATTACCAATTGCAATGACTTTTATTGTATTTTTGATTATATTTATAGCTCGTTCAAATTTATAGGAAACACATAAGTATCGTCGAGTTGGATATTCAAAATTCGTGACTCGTAATTTTCATTTGAAATGCGAAACAGTAGATGCGAGTTAAATCGTCTGGTGATTCAAAATTTTATAAATTTGATTTTTTCGTTAATACTTATCGTATAATTCACGGTATCGAGAATTTGTCTCTCTTTTCTTTATTTTTTTTTTTTTTGATTATAAAAAATCAAACATGAAATTAAAAATTTTTTCAGTATTCTATAATTTAGATTGAAAATACGAAGCAACAGAAAATTTAAATTTACTCATATCAATGTTATTATATATTCGATCTGAATATTAAAGTGAAAATGAAAAATCACGTGATTTTAATTACACTTTTCGATGATTTTCATAGTGTAAAAACATGGAGAGAACATTTATTTTCTCATAATGAAGATCGCGTAGGAAATTGAAAATTTCTATTTAAACGATATTTATTCGTAAATAGGAAGAAGACTATAAAAAAAAAAAAAAATAAGATAAATATTAATTAGATCGTATCGAACAGTCTTCATTTTTAATAAAAAAAGAAAAAAGAAAGAAAGAAAACAACTTCGAAATAATAAGAAAAAGAAAAGGGAAAAATAAACACATTTAAATCATTCAACAATTTTTATGGAAAATAATTTACAAAAAAGAAAAACAAAAAAATACTTCGATTGAATCAATAAACTTTGAATGCAAAAAAGACTAAAGTACACTTAATCGATAAACTTTGAAGCAAAAAAAGAAAAGAAATAACAAGGAAATAAATAATTATATTTAATCAATCAACCTTGAAAGAAAATATAATTACAATAAAATAAAAAGAAGAATTAAATAACATTTAATCAATCAAACACTTGAAATAAAAATGAAATAAATCAAATGATTGTACATTTAACTAAAAATAATACAAAACACGCTGTAACTTACAATCAACTTCTCCCACCCCCACCCTTGCCTATCTTTTAACAATTTCATAGTATAAATTTCTCTTACAATTAAAACTTACAAAAATCACAATAAAATTAAAAAAGATGATCTTAAAATGCTAACTAAATCTTTCCGGTACACTTAATGAGAATGGTTATAGAAAGAAATAAAAAGATTGAGTGAGTGAAAGATAGAAAGAAATAAATAAAAGTATCGAAGTTCATCGGGACGATTAAACTACCGCATATAAGACGTTCCACAGGAGTCTAATAATATACGCAATGAATACTTTGCGGATGTATTTTTAATGTTCCGTGGGCGTATTTATAAATAGTATATCGGTACCGATAACCCGTACTTAGTATCTCCTTCGGGGATTGGCCTCGGTGTCGCATTCTTGTTCTACTGTCTGGGATAACTTCTATTGTTGTCCTGGTATTCTTCTCCTCAATGATGATGATGATGATGATGATGATGAATAAGAACATTTAATGTTATATATACATTCTAATTAAACAAAATTAACTCTCCAAGAGTAAATTTGCGTTATGAAAGCCAATGTACTTTCCAACCAATCAACCCCCTTCTCTCCCCCTCTTTTACCCCGGATCAAAACTCAATATCGATTACGATTAGATTAGATTCGATTATACTTGATCGGGGATAATAATCAAGGAAGATCAGAAAGGAGGACACGTTCGACGTTGAATAATTTCCATTCGGTCCAATGACTATACCTGCTGATATCAGCTGTCTCTGTTTATGAATATATACATATACACACACGTTGAATATCTACACATGCACATATTCACCTACCAACATGTATACGCGTACACGTACAGGCATACACATATATAGGTATATATATTTATATATATATATATATAGGTATAGATGTATAATAGGCTAGCACGCGAATCGTTACCGGACGTTAGGCACGATTAAACGTTGGCAGTGTCGCGTGTCCAGTGCTAGCATTATCTGCCTGTATCAGCATCCCTATCTCTCTCTCTCTCTCTCTCTCTCTCTCTCTCTCTCTCTCTCTGACTGTATCTATCTCTTACTAGCTTTGCATATCGATCTGGGCAATATAATCCTCTGTGCAGAGTGCAATCTCCGCGGAATGCATTTTCCTTCTTTCTTTAATATTATCGGAATGTGTATAATGTAAATACATGATAGGAAAATAAAAATATATATATGTAAAAAAACAAAGAATTAATATATTAATAATAATAATAATTCATATTATTTTAATTATAGTTTATTGTCATTTCAAACGTATCGTCCTGTCATACTTTTTATCATCTTCAGTTATCATCATCGTCATCGTCGTATTTTTTCGTAGTCTCTTCTCTTGGTTGAATGTGTAAACACCAAGTTGTTATTCGAGGAATATCCCCGTCGTTAGATAGAGAATCAGAAAGAGAAAAAGAGAGAGAGAGAGAGAGAGAGAAATGAAATGGCATATATGAACATCTCGTAAGCTATACAGACAGTCAATGATTTTTCTACTTTCTATTCATGTTTGTGTATCACATAGTTCAATTGTGTTCGTTCTTGTAAATAATTAGATAAAATAGATTATTTATGGAGAAATTTATAATCTTTTTTATAAAAAGAAAAAGAGAAAAGGATAGAAATGTATAAAGAAAAATAATATATTCAATTATATTATACATGTGTATACAAGGATGAATTGAAAAATCTTGAATGTAATATTTTCTTTAAATATTAAGACTACATATGTTATTAAAAAATAGAAATGATTTTGACTGAAAAAATTCAAATTGTTTCCATGTAAGGTTCTCTATTTTTCAACCTAAATGTATATATGTAATATATTAATTTATTATTATCATTAATTATTATATTATACAATATATTATTTAATATTGTGTATGTAAATTAAAAGTAGCAGTAAATGAGTCTATTTTTATTTTTTGGCCTTTAATAGGAATACATATTCAAATTAATATATATATAGAAAGAAACTAATATGAGATAATAAAATAATAAGATAATATTTCCAAGAGAAATAGAAACACTTATATATTTACATATATATTACTGTTTCTATTTTTCTTAAAATTAATAAAAAAAAAACATTGTCATTGAAATGATTTTGATTGAAAAATTCCTTTTTTTCTACGTTGAAATTTTACTTATTTCATCTCATACCGATTCGAGTTTTATCAAGTTTTTTTTTTGTTTCTTTTTTTTATATGCAATGTATAATTTTTTTTCTTTCGAATTGTAAATATGTTCGTTTTTTTTTCGTAAATTGAATACTCTAATTAAACGATCTCGATGACTACGACGACTATGATGACGACGATGACGATGACGATGACGATGATGAGTACGAGGACTACACGACGAGTTTGTTTTCCATGCTCTTCTCTGTCCTCGTCTATCTGTTCTGTACCACTTTGGATGCGATAACGGCCGGTTATCATTGTTACAGCTATTAGCGTCGCGATGCCGATATTATCCGTGCACGAACAATGTCGTCTAGTTACATTCTATCTATCTCTCTCTCACTCTCTCACACATACTACATATTCACACATATATACAGGATCCTCCATTTATTTGGTAGAGGCAATATCGGACCGGCTAGTTCGCTTTAATCGCTCGACGAAAGTTAATAAATTAACTTAAAGTATTGCACTCTCATACCTTTATCCAATTATGTTGCCAGATATATTGATGTATATGTGTGGATGTAATTAAGTGACTCCTGGTTAAATATACGATACTACCAAAGTATATTTCTATTAGTATCAATTTATTTGTCACATAGGTTTTGATCTTTCGTATTATTATTATTATTATTATTATTATTATTATTGTTATTATTATTACCTTTTTGGTTTAATATTTATCGTTTTGATTTTAAATCAGCAAATATTCAGTCAGAGTTTTAGGAATTTATTTTTCTCTCGTATTATTTTTATTATTATTATTATTTGCTTATAATATTTACATTCTTATGTATATATATTTCTTTTATTTTTTGGCATTAAGTCTCTTAGATTTGTCTTAAAAATATTTTTGAATACATTTTATCAACTGTATACACATTTCAATAATTACAATTTATTATTATTCGTGAATTTGTTGAATTTATTTGTTCAATTTATTTGGTATATATTTAATTAGATTATTTTTTGAAACTTTTATTTTAAAATAAATATATATATATATATATATTTAAATAATATTTAATCCAATTATAGTTTTACAATATTGTGTTTCATAATTTGTCAATTAATTAATTTCATTAATTATTTGTACCACCGCGTATGCAATTTAAAAAAATTATACGATAATGTTATGTGCAAATTATATTTTCACGATTGATAGAATTCCTTTATTTTTATTTTATTTGTTATAGAAAATTTTGGATATACGAGGACGAGTTTAAAGTGACTATCGAAAAGGATGAGGCCTAATTCATTGGAATGTTTTATGTTCTTTCTTTTCCTGATAGTTTCGGGAGGAGAATCAACTTCCGTCCGAGACAATCTCTTCCACGAGAATGATCTCGTTTCGTCTACAAACTCTAACAAGTCTCCATTATCGATTATATCACCGATCGATTATCCCGATAAACTTCATTCTTGTCTTTACGTGCCACCTGATTTACCACCTTGCCAATTTATAAGGTAAATATATCATTATTTAGATCATTATCTATATACTTAATTACATTAATTAATTTATATATATATATATATAATTTTTTTTGTTCATTTATTTTCAATAGAAACACAAATACTCAAAGATTTTATCGATCTATTAACTACGATAATATTAATTCGAACATCGAATCGAATTATAAAGGTCACTTTACGGTTTATTCCTTGCAAGGTTGCTTACCCTCCAGGTAGATATGTTCGTTTTTAATCTTTCATCTTTTCAAGGCCAAGTTTTGTTATATGTCGATAATATTAGGAACATTTTTTTAAATTTTGTTTTACACGTTTTCATTTCTTGTCTTTTAATGATACACAAAATATAAAATAAAACATGAAACTTGTTAATTATCTTATAGCAATTAGAATTGATTTTATGGTAAAGAACAAAATTGTAAATTTATTTATAGAATTTGAAATTGAACATTTGCAAATATGTTGCAATGGCCTTGAAGAGATTAATAAAATAAGGAAAATATGCAATTAATGTATATATAAAATAAAAAAAAAAAGTTTAACAATAATTATAATTTTTCTTCTCTTAGATTACCTTTTAGAATGATGTTGTGCAAATCTAAAGATCTTTTAGAGAAAGCCACGAAAATCTGGAAATTATATCCATTTAAAATCGAGGACGATGAAACGATCGAATCTACGTTTATTTTTCCACAATTCGATGTAAATCAATGGTCGAAATCTATGAGATTACTTCGAGAAGAGAAACACAAACAAAAACGAAGTAGCGAACAAGATGATTTGTTTAAAACTAATGAAGAATTGTTATCATCTTCCTCAATGATTTCGTTTGATAATGATCATAACGATTTAATTAAATCATTACCGAGTTCATCGTTATTCGAAGATAATTCGACGAATTTTTTGACGAATGATAGAAAACGAAGAAGAAGAAGACGTAAAAAATGCGACAAATTGAATCGTCGCGAAATTAGAAGAGGAAGCGAATTTCCGTACTCGAAATCAATACCATTCGATATTAAAAAATTAAGCTTATCGGGAAGATTAAGCAAATTTTTCTGATTGAGTCCTATTTCTTTTTGAGTAGATTTTAAGAACGATAAAAAAAATGGCTAATGAATTTTATTAGATGAAGATAATACGTCATTTGTGAAGATTAATATTTTTGGTTTTCTTCGTGTTTCAAAGTTAAGTGATTATTTGATCATTTTTATTTTTCATTTGTTTTGTTAGATTTATTTAATAGTAATAGGGAAGGAAAAAAGAGAAGAGAAATTTTAACAAATTGAATGTCGGTAATTATTATTATTATTATTATTATTATTATTATTATTATTGTTATTATTATTAACACGTTGATTGTATGATTTTATTATTAAATAGAATGATATAATACATTTTGTAAATATAGTAAATATTATTATTGTATAACAAAACGTATTATATTTAGGATAAATTAGTTATAAGAAAAAAAAAATTTTTCAACATAATCTCACTAATAATTAGAATTTTACATATATAATATAACAAACATAAAATTAGATTTAAATTGGAATAGAATTGAGAATAAAAAATCAAATGTTATATTAGTAATCAACGTGTTAATATTATTTTGTTATTATTACATATTAATATTAATATTAATATTATTATCTTTATTATTCTCCCTTTTAAGGGTTTTATGGGTTCGTTCTCTTTACAAACGTTTAACACATCCTTACCATCTTTTTGCATTAATACATACAACTTATAATTAACTAAACACGCAACGAAAAGCTAATATATACTTAATATAACCTCAGCTCTAATATAATTACTTTAGCTAACTATAATATAATAATATTAATATTAATATTAATAATTATAATAATTATTATTAAAAGAAGTAGATATTATTTAAAAGAAAGACGGATAGCATAGGACGGATTTTGAAGCTGAAATTAATTTCTATTTTTTACTTTCTTCTTGTTATTTTTTATTCATTTTTTATTTTCCAATAACGAATACTATTATTATAGATTGTTTAATGTTTAACGATCGAAGGTTAGGTCGAAGTGAGGTCATCCTATGTTGATATGAACAAAGATTCATACGTTTTTTGCATTTTTATATTTAATATATCAGCAACGTTGATAATGCATATCAAAGCTCGTGGTTGGTTACTATCATCATTATATTAATTAATCGGAAATCGAATCGATATAATCATTGCAACTTTTTATTTTTATTTTTCCAATCGATGTTTACTTTCAATTTAAACTGACTCTCTAATATGCCTTCTAATCTATATTAACATAGTAATGGAGCACGATATCATGCGATAAATATTATATATGTGTATGTGTGTATAACTGTGATATATATATTTCATGTTTTGTTAATTTAGGTTAAACAAATATCGCTGTATATATTATTAGATTTTATATTTCATTACGTTGTTCGAAAAGTAATTTTCACCGTTTTTTTCTTTTTCTTTATCCTATGCTAAATAAAAGATGATTTATTTGTTGTTTTTTTTTTTTAAATAATTTAAAGAACCAAGAGATTTGTTTTTCCAAAAAACCAAGAAACAATTTTCTTTTTATTACCTTTTACGACAATTGGCATTCATCGATATTTTTATTATAGAAAGAAAATTATAAGAACTATATTTTTAAAAGCAAATTTAACAGTGGAATTCATTTAAAGGTATTTTGTTGTTAAAATGTAAAATAATTTTGAAGTTTAAAACAAGGTTGATTATTCAATAAACGAGATTAACAAAATTACTTTTCGAATAAAGCAATATTTTGTTTGTATCTTTCCTCGATATTCTCGCTAACGATCGTGACATTTTATTTTAGTAGATTATTTGTTTCTTTTTTTTGTCTTTTTTATTAAGAACTAGTTTTGTTAGAATATGCGAAGTAACATATGTGATATATATGTATATGTGTATATATATATGACAATGAGATATTTTAAGTAATTAGTTTTAAATAAACAGAGAGTAGATTATATTTAATTAATTTAGTGAGAAGTTAGTGAGAATAATAATTGTTAATAATTAATTGTAATAACCACCGGTCAAAGATATATATTTTTTCAAAGTAATTCTTCTTTTTTCTTCTCTTATTTTTTCATTTTTTTTTTTTTTGCTAACACAGATTGACTGGTCTAATTAATTTAGATTAAAAATAAAAAAATAATACACATTTCTTACGAATAAATGTTCCAACATTTTACAAAACTTCAAATGTTGTGAAATAAAATATATATAATGCATGAATTGACCAAGTGTTCAACGTGTTAATAAAAATGAATAAAATAATTATAAATAATAATCAAGAATTACTTTGATAAAATATAAATTTTAAATAGTATATATAATTAATCATAGAAAATAATAAATATACCGATTGAACAATATTTTTTACGACGAGATTTATATCAAATGTTTTATCGACAAAATTCTAATTAAATATTTCGTAGTAAGATAAAAAATAAAGAAAAAAAGAAAAAGGAGTAGAGAAGAGGGATAGAAAAATGAATGAAATTTATAATATAAGTATGATTGTATAAAATCTGTATCTATTATCCCTCATCACGTTGTACAATTTGACTAGTCGTTAGATCATCAACGAATTGTTTTTTATTTTCCTTCTTATTATCTTGTATTATTAGACCTTGTTATATTCTTCGAACACTTTGTTTATAAAATACGATTGGTTGAGGTCATCGTGTTGTAAGAATTAATTGGATACAAGGAGGAAAACCACAAGTTTCCTCTTTTCTACGAATTCTCTATAATATACAAATATTTGCAATATAAAATAATTATTTTAATATGTTTATAGATTTTAAATCTCATTAATTTGTTTAAAAATATTGTTGTATACATGTACGCAAGAAATTTTATTATAACATATAAATTAGATTATATCGTACATTTTAAATCTTACAAATTTGTATATTTTAAATCCTGAAACAAAAATCATTATGTGTATGTAACAAAAATCTTGTAATATAAATCGGATCATAATTTTTGTTCATTACAGAATTTCAAATACCTTATTTAATATTGTTTCTTATGTTTAATTTATTTCAATTTATTCTATTGTACAGGAATCTTACAAATTTGTATTTTAAATATCAAAACGTAAAATGCATTGTATTCTTACACAAATTTCATAATATAAATCGGATCAGGTTTTATCTTGTAGATAAATAATAGAAATATCATCTGTATAAAAATATCATGCGATAAGGGATAAAAATGATCGATGCTTTTAAGATTACGAAAAAAATTCCTGTGGGTTCTTTCTATTCATGATTATTACGACGATTATTATTATTATTATTATTATTATTTAAATTTCTTAACTGACTGTTTTTTAATACTTCTCGTTAAATTATTTCTATTTGTTTGTTCATAATTTCTATCTGTTTCTCTCTTCGTTTTATTTCCTTGTAGTTAGTACAAGCCACAAAAGACAGGAGACACGATCCGTAAACCTTTAGCAGTTATCACGCAAACTGGTTGACGCCACCTGACCACTTCCACGAGAGTTCAGATTCCGCTATTTCACAGTATCAACCTCCACGTCCAAACAAGGTTACTTCAATCGAACCTGAATGACGACTACTGGATGAAGATCAAGATCAAGAATATTGTCCAAACCCCTTCCCTTTCCCTTCACCCCGAAGTATTTTCTCATTTTGAAATTCAACGATTAAACTTACATTTTCATTCAAACTTTTCACGTTTACAAATTCGATTAAAATTTAACCAATTTTATTATTAAAACCAATCATATTTTACATAATATATTAATTGTCAGATAAAATATTCCAAATTTTGTCCAAATGAATTCGATTTAGATTTTACCGCTAATTGAAAATTCAGTTAATTCTAAGGACTAAGAGAAGGGGAATGGAAGGGATGATGAGAAACCACGTTTGTCATTAGAACAATTATATTTTCGTTTATTCAAAATGTTAGATAAAATATTTCAAATTTTGTTCGAATGAATTCGATTTAGATCTCTCATCACTAATTAGAAATTCAGTTAATTTTAAGAAGCAAGGGAAGGGGGATGAAGGGGAAAATGAGAAGCCACGTTTGTCGTTAGAACAATCATATTTTTGTGTATACGAAATGTTAAGATAAAATATTTCAAATATTGTTCAAGATAATTCAACTTACATTAGATTAAGTTAAGTTTCGAATGATTCGACTACACTTTAGACCCTATCTCTAATTACAAGTTGCAGTTAATTACGATGAGGTGAGGGTGAGAAGAGGAGATGCCAGGTTTACAGCAGCTAATCTCGTTTTACCGACGACAACGATTAGCCCCGATGAGTGAAAGTACCCGAGAGTATTGCGTAGGTTTGTATAACATTACTAAAAACATACGTTATTGTATCAATCAAAATTATCCAAAAACGATCAACAACTAAAACTCTATGTACCTAAAACTATCAATAATTCGTATTAGAAATGTTAATCCTTTTTTTATTAATAAAATAAAATGAAAAATTTGTTAGGTGCATAAACGCCAATAGATATGCAACCCTCGATACACCGGTGTAAGAATATTAATCTATTCATATACTTTCGTTTTTCTTTTTTATTACCTGCACTCTATGTAAATATAAAAAACAATGACCGATATATTATTATTATAATATAAATAAAAATTATGTTAATCATCGTGTTAAATTAAAATCAAGCTATAATTAAATAGAACGTATTGAAAGATTTAATAAGAAAAATAAAAGAAAATCATTTGAAAAATTTTGAATTGAAAGATAAAGAAGAGTAAAAGAGAAATAAGGAGATGAGTTAGTCAGTAATACAGTGTAGTGTTGTGCGGAGGCTGCGGTTAGAAAGGCAGCTCTCGTTGGAGTCACCGTGTCGCGACTGCATACCTACAACACCTATACAATCAAACTATACCAGCTGGATAGCTCGGTCCCTGCTCGCATGAGAGCTACCTGTCCAGTATGTACGGTATCCGCGTACGAGTAGTGCCGTACGTTCGATCGTCATCGGTTCTTTGAGTTTAACGGTGCTAACACACACTCCTGGCACGCATATCTTTCTCTTTCTATCTTTATTTTTCTCTTTCTTTCACTCACTCTTACTATTAGGGCCTTGACTGGCCTAGGTCCCAGCATCCTCTTGTATCTTTAATTATAACAAAACCAATCGATGTATATTTTATTAATGATTTTTCTAAAATCGGTACATCGTGGAATTCTTTATTCGTATGTTTCCGGGGACACACCTTTTTCTTCTTCATATTCTGATTATTTTATTGAAATATATTCGTAAAATTTGTTTGTCATTGATCAAGGATTATTATTTCAATGTGGTATTGTATAGTTGTTTTTTCTCTTATTTTTTAAAAGGAACTTTTTCAACAAGTTTATTTGTTGAACGTTTAATAATATTGCGGTAGATTTACGGTTTTGTATAGATTATTATTTTTAGTTTGTTGTTGTTGTTGTTGTTGTTGTTATTGTGAATAAAGAAATGTCGTGAGTATTTCGTAGAGAGTTTGCTTTTGATGCTGAAGGAATGCGTTTTTACTGTAGTTCGTTGAAGCATCGCGAGAGAGAAGGTCACGCATCGTGGAATATCTTTACGACGTTCTATACCTTTCTTATTTTTCTTCTTCTTTTTCTCACTTAACTTCCTTTCGTGTATCATCTTATTATTATTCTTCTTCTTCTTTCTGTTTTTCTTTTTCTTCTTCTTATTCGGTTAGTTTAAGATTCGAAAGAGAGACTGTGACTCTCAAGAACTCTCCTCGACCGTTTGACCGACTACGGTGGTTTTTAATGTTGTACGTCAGTTGCGGCAGGTCACGAGGAACGGCTCTCAAGATGGCCTACATTATACTATTTCGTTATTATCGTTGACCAGAAAAAGTAAAAAAAAAAAAAAAAAATAAGAAAAAGAAAACAAAATTGGGACGGTGAGAGAAAGAACAAAAATAAAGAGAAGAAAGAACAAATTTTTATTACCCATTCTCGAAAGAACCGATTGATTAATTCCATAAAAATTATTATTCCGAAATATTGTCGATTCTTTTATAAAGAAATAAACACAAAATAAAAATGGGCCAAGCTTGGTGCAAAGAAAAAACTTCAAAGGCACAGGATTCGAAATCACCTTTGGATCGGGTCTTTGTTCGATGTGCTCATCGGGTATGTAAAAAAGAAACCAATTGTATTTTTATTTATTTATTATTTCTTCTTCTTCTTATTTTTCTTTTTTCCATTCTCTTGAACTTTAACAATAGAAGAAAGATATTTTTTTTTTCTTCCATTCAGAATATCAGATAATTTTATTGCAAGAATTGTTTTCTCGTGTGGACGGTATTTTAAACGTGTTAGGCTTGTTTACATTTCTATTTTTAACAATGGAGATAGGAAAAAACATTCTAATGAATATTCCAGTAATAGAATATATATAAACATATATATATATATATATCTAGTACGAATAAATTATAGATTATAAATTCGATAGATTTATTGATTTAACGTTTATTTTTGACATTGATAGATTTCCATAGCGATTTAACATCATCCATTCGGGGGTGGGGTGGAGGATGGATGGGGGGGGAGGTTGATGTTACTACATCGTTACAATTAACTTCATTTTAATGATAATATTCATAAATCTTCGCGAGATTAATTATCATCGTTGGGAATATTATAATAATATTTTCTTTAATAATGAAATAGAATAAAAATAGAGAGAGAGAGAGAGAGATAGAGATAAAGAGATAGAACATTTTGATAAAATTAAAAGTGAATTAACGCGTCAACGTTAGCGTCAACTTCATTGAAAATCTCAGTCCTATTATATTACGTAATAATTAAGAAAATATATTTTTTTATATTTTTATATTTAATGCACAGACGAGAAGAGGTTAGACGTTGTGATAAAAATAGAATGTTTATCGTTTTAGAAAACGAGAGTCGAAGGACGTTACAATACACAGGTGTCGATCTTTACGTTAAAGAATCTTATTGCAAAAGAATAAAATAAAAATGAAACATTGTTAGATAGATAGTTAGATGGTCAAAGAAAAGATGGTAAGAATAAGAAGAGCAGTTGGTTGTTTCTCGTGTTACCGATATGCAGTATCAATTAGCCTAAGTGCGATAAGTTACGTGCTAAACGAGAAATCGCAACTGGTATGGCTGACACGTTTTATAAAATAGTTTTCTAGAGAGTGTTTGATTAACACGAAGAAAAAGAAAAACGAAACTTTAGGTAGATTTTTGAATTAACTAAATTGTAAGATCATATATATATATATGTTTTTTGTGTAAGTGTGTATGTTAATGTATGAGGAAGAAAAAAGACAAAAAAAATAACAAAAAACAACTTTCTTAGGTATAACTTTTTGCATACCAACGAAATTATAGCTTGTCTTGAGTCTACTTTTACATCGGTTCTCTCACGTTTCAAGTTTCTTAGCTACTTACATCGCAACAACAGGATCGTGACAATTGCGTAAATTTTAATGACATGTATATACGCATATACTGTGTGGGCTAAACATTACTTACTCATTTTTAGAATTATTCTTTTTTTTCATTTCTAATGAGACGATTAGAATATTATTAATCATAAAATCTTGGAATTAATCTTTTTTTTTTATATTTATTATGGTTGGGTTGAAAAGTTTTGAGCTTTGACAAAAAATAAAAATTGTATTATATTTTTAAATAAAAGTAAATGAAATATACAAAATATAATAATAGTAGTAGTAGTCATGATTTCTTGAAACACAATTTGATGACTTAAATAAAACAAATAAAAAATATATATAAAAATATTATTTTATGTTAGACTCAAAACTTTTCAACTCACCCACCTACATATATATATATGTATATAGAATAAAATATTCAATTAAGTTTTAATGTTGATTAAAATTAAAATGATATAAATAAAGTAAAATAATAATACTATATCTTATATATATAAGAATGTGAGATTATAAAGAAGTTGAATAACAATAATAAGAAAATAGGAAATAACGTGTATGAATCATTTACGTGTAGGATGATGCCATCGATCTAGCATGATGCATTTCATTTGGTTTTTTTTTCTCTTTTTTTTTTGTTATTCGCGACTACTTTACTACGTGGATATTCGTTTTAAAATGTATGGGTAAGCATGAGAAGATTTTTCCGGCTCAAGGCTAAGAGAGTTAAACGAGTTACGATGTTACTCGTCGAAGTAAAAAAACGTGTGATGCATAGAGGTACCTTCGATGGCGCAGTTACAAACTCATCGTCGACTATTTAACGACTGCAACTTGTTAATAAGCAATAATACATATATATGTACTTAAATACACGTATCTGTACGTGCATATGGTAAATGTCTACACGGTACATCGAATTGACGTTACAAATTTATATTATTTGGATAGAATGTATCGTTGATTATGTAACAACTTAAAGGTCGACGATAAATTCTATATTCGATTTATTTCCTCGATAATATGAAAATTTAATTTCTTTACTCGATATTAAGTCGGTGGGTTGAAAAATTTTTGAATCACGATAAAAGAAAAAAATTACTTTTATTTTTTCTGTTTCATATTTTTCGAAAAAATTGTTCACGTGTTATAAACTCGAATACATTTTCAATTTACCTACGTATATTCTTCATTATTTTATATCATAATTATGAATATTACTTTACTACTATTTAAGAAATTATTTATTATTATTTTTATTATTTTACGTTTGACCGATTATAATATAAATAAGTAATATATACATAAATTGTTTGCAAATGTTTTTAAATTAAGTTTTATGAGAAACGAAAAATTTTGGTTCTACATCCATCAGAGATCAATTTTGTTCGATCGGTCAATTATCACTTCCCTCCCACCCCCTACCTCCCTTCCTTTATTCGTATCTATCCTTTCTCACTAGCACGACGAAGTTTATCTAACGAATTTGCAATGTAAACGTTGAAGGTAGTAGGTGGGATGTGAAACTCTCGTGTACGATACGTGTAGATACGATTTCTGAAGGGAGTGAGTGTTCATATGTTATAGTTTGTCGACAGGATGTTACCCTCGTGTCGCGTTATAATATAAGCGACCGCTCGTAACTCACAAGCTTGTTTCTCAGTTATCTCTTTTTCTCTCTCTCTCTCTTTCTCTCTTTATCTCTCTCTTTATCTCTTTTTCTCTTACTCAGGATATTTAACATCTCTTCTTCTATTACTTTGTCTTTTTTTATTCCCCCAAGGACTACCTAAATCGATCTTCATTAATTGTAAGTTAGAATCAGTTAGAAATGTTTTAATATTAGGTCGTCTTAAAAATTTCTTCCTTTTTTTGGTGATAAGTTAAACAATGTAAAGTAATATACTTTCTTTTTTTGTATTTTATGTTATTTTAGTAATTAGTATCGATTCTGTTCTATTTTACCTTTTTCTATACTTTAAATTATTCAACCTAAAAAATATTGTTCCCGTAGAATTACTATAAAAAAAAAGAAACTTTACAATCAAACAATACGATCAAATTTTTATACTATCTATATTATTATTTTTTTTTTTTTTTCATATAAATATTAATTTGGATTTTGTTTTGTTTTTATTTTTTACGAGTTTTTGATGTATATGCAAAATTTTGATTACATTTTTAAATTAAATATGATAATATTTGCATTTGTTTTATTGTGGAAATAATAGTACTCAAATGATTCTAGATTTATTATAAATTTTTTTTTAGATATTTATATTGATTATTTAAAATGAGAGTGACATAATTTCATTAATTTAATGTTTTTTAATACTTAAAAATTTTTCTACACATATGTATGTATTAAATGATTTTAAATATATTCTAGAACTTTTTATTACAAGAAAAATGTACAAAATGATGATTAAATTTTATCAAACTTATTTCTTTATTCATAAATATATATTACTTCTACACATACATATATTTATTATACATTTTTTTGTTATAATTATTTAAAGAAAAATTAAATGATGATCTTAGAAGATTGAAAACAAAATCTTCTGAATTGATCTAAATATATCGATTTCAAATCAATTATTATAATATCAGAGAGACAAATTTAAAATAAAGACGATAAAGATATTACATATGAAATTTCGTTGTTTTATTTATCGATAGGTTACTCGTATATAACGCAGACATACGTATAGGTTTATATATATACCTTTTTTTTGTGCTTTATCCCATCCTTTTCAACGTAATCGTGTTTTCGTGTTCCCGATGATACAAAGAGAATTATGCAACAACTCGCACGACCGAGTCGAGTTGCTCGTTGTCGAGTTGATCGTCGATTATGCAAGCCTTCGCCAAGAGCGTCACGGTCCAAATCGTCTCTACGTCTGTTTAAAAAAAAAAAAAAATAAAAATAATAATAATAATAATAATAATAATAAAAAGAAAAAAATATATATAAGAAAAATAAATTTAAAAAAAAGAAACAAAATTCAAAAAATAAACATATATTTTTTTATTATTCTCGTATTGCATTTATTTATCATTATATATATATATTTATTTTCTCAAAATGTGATCATCGATAGATCCCATATATTGGAAAACATGAAGGCTCAGGTATCCTTTTGATTTCTGATCGTATTAATCGGGGATTTAGATTGTCTGAAAGGGAATTCATGAGTAGATTTTCCTTCGTTAGGGAAACTAACGTTCCAGAGAGATAGAGATAGAGATAGATAGATAGATGCATATGGATAGATGGTTGAAGAGTGAGTGAGATAGCTAGTGATAGAAAGAGAGGAAGAGAGACAGAGAGAGTGTGTGTGAGAGAGAGAGAGAGTATGAGAGTGGCTGACAGCTCTGAAGCAAACTCCCGTGCTGCACGAAATTCCCGGCTGGCACGGGACAACGGGGGTGCTTGCTTTAAAATTTAAATTATTCCTACTCGTCCCTGGATGCCACCTGTAGGTTCAATTTAATTTTACAACTGTACGCACCCAGACAATAGAGAAACTTCGGCAACGCGAGCACGAGTGTCGTTCCGTCAAGCTTAAATCTAATTTTTCATCCTACCAAACCCTCATCTCTTTCTCTACTCGGATATCTATCTATCTATCTATCTATCTATCTATCTATCTATCTATCTATCTATCTATCTATCTGTATAAGCTATTTATTTCGCTTTGTATTTATGTTACTCTTTCACTTTCTATATTACTGTCACTTTCTTTCTCTTCATATTTTTATATGTTTTCTTATTTACTCATTCACTCACTCATCTACTGAGATACTCTCTCTCTCTTTCTTTCCATTTGTTGATTGTTTTCTTTTTTTCTTTTTTTTTTTCTTCTTGTTACTGTTTCTCTTTTTCTATCTTATTATTGTACTACAACTTTCTTTCATTTTCTAAACTTTTCTATTCTTTCTTATTTATTAATTAATTTATTTATCTATTACTTTGTGGATTAATATCCACTTCTTTATCTTACTTACTTATTATTATACTTTCTACCCTTGTTTTTTAATCTTTTTATCATTTACGGTAAAATTATTTTTCTTTCTCTATTCATTTATTTATTCGCGTATCTTTTTTTTTGTTTTTTTGAATTCTCATATTATTCTCTTTTATCTTTTTATCTTATACAGTAACACTCTTCCCTTTTTCTCTCTCTTTCACTCTCTTTTGAATTTATTCTAAATCTTTTTAACCATCTCTTTGTCTTCTATTTAGTTTCAATCTTTTTCTCTCTCTCTCTCTTCTTCTCTCTTTTTCTCAGTGATTTTCTGTTTCTCTTTTTTCGTTTAACTTCCTGTTAATCTTTCTCCTACCAACTTCCTCTTACTTTTCCTTTCTCTAACATTCTCCTTGTTTTTTCTTTGTTTTTGTTTTATTCATCCCCTTTCTCTTTCTATCTATTGAATTTTTCGGTCTACTTATAAAATGGTAGAAAGCAATAAAAACCTTAACCGATATCCAAAGAGCCCTTTAACTTCCCTGTTTACTATAGGGTGTAGTAACCCTAAAAGCTTCTTTTTCTTGTTCTTTTTGCTACTTTGCTTTCTTTCTTTCCTTCGTCTAACTGTTTGTAGCAAGGATCGTCGTTTTACCCTTCAAAATTGTACCTCGTAAAACATGTTTCTGGAAGGAGGAACGATTTTAAAGGAACTTTGTTCTCTCTCTCTCTCTCTCATATTTTCGTTTTATTTTTTTTTCTTCAAGGTCAATTTAACCATCGATTTCAATGAGATTCGTTGAAACGTGTCGCGTGAGATTGAAAAAAAAATCATTCCTCGAACGTGCCAATTTCTTTTTCCTTTTTCTATTTCTTTTTCTTTTTCTTTTTCTATTCTTCCTAAAGAACAATTCATACAAATCTGCGATATTAAAATTAAAATTTGTTTAAATAAAAACTTTATATATTAAGACGAATATTAATTTGTCTTTTTAATTATTTTTCTCGTAGACATAGATTATATTAAAATATACAATTTTAATCGGGTTTAATGAATTTATTCAAAAGATTTGGATATAAACACATTATCCTTAAAAGCTAACTTTCATTATCTTTATTCGACAGAAGACCAATAATAAATTTATCTAATTAAGGGATGAATTTCTTTTGTAGATTTATCCGAGCTTAAAAGAAGAGGGTTCTGTACTCGGTGGTGCCACTCAAAGAGTAACGAGGTAGGTATAATACCGGTGACACAACTTTTCACACACACACACGCGAAAGCCAATCCAAACAACGTAAAAAAAAGCAAAAAAAAAAAAAAGAGAAGAAAAAAGTTGCCAAATAAAACAAAATAAAATAAAATAAAGTAGAATAAAATGAAACTAAACAAAACAAAGCAAATATGAAATGAAATGAAATAAAATAAAATAAAAAATAAATGAAAAAAAAAAAAACATAGAGAAAGATAATAAATAATAACATTGAAATACGAGTCAGAATTCGTTAACGAAGTACTCGAAGGACAATCGTTTTGTGACGGCAAGGCCAGTCCAATTAACGTAGCATAATCCTAGGTGATCTCGTGCAACGACCTATTAGCGAGAAGCAGGAAAGAGGTGCAACCGGTGACACGACAGGGATTGTGATAGTGACAAAGTGAAATCCGAATCGAATGATCGAGTCTTTCGATGAGAGAAATAGTTAGAGAGAGATAGAGAGAGAGAGAGAGAGAGAGAGAGAGAGAGAGAGAGGACACGCCTTCAACGTTAAAGGTAAAGCCTTTAGTTGAAGTGAGCAACAATGAATTGGAATGAATCGGGATCAGTGGTGAGACGTGAAGTGAGAGAGCACAAGCAAACCTGGTTGGGTCGACCTTAAATGGTCACATTCTCTGGTAGGATCGCCATCCTCAACGCCACCGCAATACGCCTATCTTCGATGAACATCAAAAAGAAACTTTTCAAAGATAAAGAAAGAAAGAGAGAAGGATTTTATATTATCTTTTTTTATTAGTCTTTATTTTTATTTTTATTTTTTCCTTATATAACAAGTCAATGTCGTAAATTGATTATTATTGGTAATTCTATATTCACTGTTTCATATTTATGAATTTTTTTTCTTTTTTCACATAGAATGAAATTTTAGAAAGACAGAACAATTTTCTTCCTTTTTTTTGTAATATTTTTGTATGTTATTATTATAGTTTGACAATAAATTATTTTTGATAATTGTGAGGATTGTTAATTACATATTCAATGTTACAAAATATTTTTATTATTTATTATATAATTATGTCTTCAAAATATTCGTTATTTCTCTTTTTAAATATTTTTGTATATCTTCATGAGTCAATATCGTAGGTTGATATTTTATTTCTGGTAATTGTATATTCAAGGTTTCACATTTGAAATGTATTTTTTATATGATTTTTAAATGACTAAGATGTTTACAGGTAAATATTTTTTATAGACTAGTTTTACTTAATATGGTATAATAAGCTTTATATGGTATATTGTAATATTTCGTAATTTAACTCGAGTAACTTTGAATATAAAAATCAGTAGATATATATTTGGCAAGATTTTAATATTAGATATTTTCATATGAACAATGAATTATTAAATATTATAATAAATAAAATTTAATAAATCTAAGTTGACAAGTAAATATTATTTTATAATAATAATAATATAAAAATAATTTCTATTTAAAAATATATATCACATAAGAAATTTTTAAACAATGAACAATATATTAAAAAAATAAAACAGACATTAAAAAAATATTCCTTTAAATAATTATTTAAAATAAATTGAACGAACGTGATATTAAACGTCGACATAATATTTCATTATTATTTTCATTCTTAAGTATTATCTTGATGCATATTAAATTGATCGTGAGAAAAATTTATTATACTCCATCGTCTAACTACAAATATCTTCCTGATCTTATTTTTTAAGAGGTCACTAGAACAATTTCATACTTTCACAACGAAACCGCATAATGGACTGGCATATAACAAACTTGGCATCATTCACGAAGGTCTTATAATCTATCCTTACAATTGAACCTAATCGTTGTTTCAACGTTACGTTTTAACTTTTACATTGTCGTTGTAAAAATTTCTCATGAATTTCCTGTATATAATTAAAAAAAAGAGACAATAATTAACCGTTGATGTCAAATCAAGATTACTTTTCTTAATAACAATTTACCGTTATTTTTTATTCATTTATCATCCACACAAATACACACACATACAAATGCACATACATATCTGAATTTCAATAGGTGCAATTCGATATTGAAGAAATGTTAAACGATATAACACGATCCTACAATATTTTCTATAAATAATTCATGTAATTCGATCTTTAAAACAATAGGGTAGTTCGAAAAGATGATTATGTGAATCAAATATAAACTCTGATCGTTTCAAAAAACAATTTCATATAACTGACATATCTCTTATTGCAAAAAAGACAATAATAAAATGAGATAATTATCGTGAAACGTATCATCTCTCTCTCTCTCTCTCTCTCTCTCCTGTTCTCTTTCTATTTCTTTCGCATAGATATATACGCTTATTACATCGACATTCCTTAGGTGTCTCGTTACGGTAGAACACGTGTTCCTTTTATAATATACGCTCGGTATCTGTAAATACATACGCCACCGCATCGCATCGTAATTTAAAGCATAAACTATACCTATGTATAAACGTGAAATATACATACATGTACACATATCTATATATACATGTATATATAGAACGAATGAAGTGAGAGAGATAGAGATAGATAGATAGTAAGATAGTACTATAGAGAGAGAGAGAGAGAGAGAGAGAGAAGATAGGAATATACAATGCGACATGTGTGAGATTAAAACCATACGGAAATGGTAGACGGTTGAAAACGTTTTGGAGAAATGCTTCTCGTTATACCATTCAAATAAT